AGTAACCTTGAGTGGTGCTATACTCATTGTGAAAAACCTTCAATCTAGGCCTAAGTGTTGTAAAGGCTGGATTGACACTAAGTGTATTGGGCTTAATACTTTAGTGAAATCCATCTGAAAGAGGGTGGGACTGGATGTAGGAGGATTACACCACCTCTGAACCAGGATACATCGTGTGTTGATTTTATGTTAGTCAACAAAGCACACAACCAACACTTCTCACAAAAAGATTGGAGTTTGCCAGCAGCATCCTAAGCAGTTGCCTTAACAGACCCAACTGCTTATCCTACTGCTTAATTACTTACTTTCTTTGAGACCTTTTTCACACAAGAAACGTGCATAAATATCACTAAAAGGCTTATCAGGTCATTATCCTGAAATTCATTCTCAAGTATAGCAGGTGCCTCAGCAGTCCCCTGGTGTCCATCCAACTGCTGAGCTCTCTGCTCATAAACACTTGTTTTTCTTAAGTATCCCAATATCACTGGATCTTCATAACATTACCAACGAGGAAGTTGACCAAACTGCTTTGTGAATTCATCCTCTAAACCAAGCAGGCACCTCGGCAGTGCCCTCATCACCAATCAACTGCTGAGACCACTGCTCCAGCAAAATTTCTGATTACATATACTAGAGCACATTTTCAAAAGCCCTCACTATTCTTACCAACAGTTCATCATCACCTTGTTCAAACACTCAATACTTTCTCAGCAGTTGCCTCAGCAGTCTCCTCCATTTCAGCTAACTGCCAACTCAGCAGTTGCCTCAGCAGTCGCCTACCCATCATCCAACTGCCAAGCCTACTGCCCTTCCATAATTAGTCTAAACATCACCCAGACTAGAAAGTTATCTTACACTGTGTTTCTAGAGGTTAAAGACTTCCGCTGTGCATCTATTAATCTCCCAAAAGATTATGGATCAACTCAACTAGAAGGGAAAAGTTCTGAAAGACGAAAAAGCTATAAAAGTCTATTCACCCCCCCCCCCTCTAGACTTTTACCTCTGTCTGGGACCATCAAGTGGTATCAGAGCAGTGTGTTCTTAGAGTCAATTTCTGACTACTTTTGAACAAAAAAAATCCAAATCCACTTGTCTTCCAAAACTTTCTAGAAATGGACAATCAACTTTCCAAAAATCTCTTGTTCAATTTAGACAAGTTTGATGACTAGAAAATTCGGATGAAAGCACATCTCAGTGCTTTGCATGATGAAATGCTGGAAGTGATCACTGATGGACCTATCAAAATTATGAAGGTCATCACATCCAGAACCACAGAAGGAACTGATGATGTATACATTCCTAAACCAAAAATGGAATGGACAACTGAAGATAGGAAGAGGAACAATCTTGACAATGTTGCAAGAGACATTCTCTTCAAAGCAGTAGATGAGTCCATATTTCCTAGAATAAGGAAATGTGAAACTGCCAAAGATGTCTGGGATGAACTAACCAAAATAGGAGCAGGAGATGAGCAAGAAAAGGACAACAAACTGACCATTGCCCACAAGAAATTTGAAGATTTCAAAATGCTGCCAAATGAATCTATTCATGAGATGGAATCTAGATTCTTGAAAATCATAGCAGAGGTCTCAGACCTAGGGAAAGTTCTCTCCCAAAAGGAAACTTCTCTCAAAGTTTTGAGAGGTCTGCCATCAAAGTGGGATATGAAGGTGACCGCTATGAGAGACAGCAGAGATCTGAGATCCCTGTCAACTGACAAGCTTTTCAGTGATCTCAAGGCTTATGAATTTGAGATGAAGGAAATCAGAGAAGAGAAGGAAGAAGAAATAAAGACATTAGCTTTAGTGTCTGAACCCAGCTCATCAAGATCTACTGAGAAATCACTCAATAATCTTCTCACTGATGAGCAATTTGCAATGTTTGTGAGAAAATTCAAAAGATTTATGAAGAGGGAAGGATCTGCCACAAAGAAGCCATTCAATAACTTAGTCAGAAAGCAAGGGAGATTCCAATCAGGTGAAAACACTATTCTATGTTACAATTGTAGACAGCCAGGACACTACAAAAACGAGTGTCCTCTTCCATTGGCACACAAGTATCAAGGGCAGCATACTACTGCTCAAAAGAATGGACACAAGGACTACAAAGGCAAACGTCAAGCCTTTGTAAGTGAAAAGAAAAAGGAGGAACCCCAATCTGAAGATGAAAGCAGCTCAAGTGATGAAAGCTCTTCATCAGAAAGCTCAGAGGAAGCACTTCTATGCCTAGGATCCTGGCAGGTGACTGAAGAAAACAGCAGTTGGCTCGCTGGAGAGAACAGCAGGTGGCTCAGTGAACCTTCCACCAGCTCAAGTGAAAATAATGAAAGCTGCTCTCCCAAATGTCTAATGGCCAAGGACCACTTCAATGATGTTGAGGTAACTTCCTGCTCTTCCTATAGCTCTAGTGATTCTGGACCAAACAATATCACACTAGAATCTTTGTTGCAAGATTTCCAAAAGGTCCAAAATCACCATGTTCTCTTAAGATCAGAAAATGATAGACTAAAACAAGACATAAAGGTTATTCATGCTAAACTGTTAAATGCCTTAACCAAAAATAATGTCTTAGAGGAAGAGAACAAAGAGCTGAAAAATAAAATGAATAACTTTAGTATGGAAAGTAAGAATTGTAATCCTACTGCTAAAATTATTCTAAATAGGAAGAGAAGAGGTCTCGGCTATGTATCCCCCACCAGACTCACTCAAAGTTTACCCTTCAAAAACCATCAACAAAATACAAGAAAGCTAATCTACAAAAAAATCCACTCCCCAGATGTTCCCACAAAAAGGAACCAACATGCTCCCAAACCAAAGTTCAAACCCCTGTATAAATCAACATCTCCCAACCATCAACACACAAGAACCCGTTGGCAACCAACAAATAAGACCAACCACAGCCAAAATACCAAGCAGACCCCTCAAACCAATGATCCATTTCCCATATCAAGAAGGAAAAGGATTAATAAATACATAGCCATTCCATATGATTACAACACCTCAAATGGCTATAGACCCATCTGCTTAGGGTTAAGCGGTTCTAGATGGGCATGGATGCCTAAACTTGGACAAGGGAAGTTGCCCACTAACTTGTGGGCTACTGCCCAATCATGATGAATACAGGAAGGTGCTGGAGCAGTGGACTCACAAACATGGTACATAGACTCAGGCTGCTCCAGGCACATGACAGGCAGCAGGAGGCTCCTGTCTAACTATATTGCAAAGGAAGGACCCAAAGTAACATTTGGGAATGTGGAAAAACAAGGAGAAACCAAAGGAGCTGGAGACCTATCAGTAAATGGACTTACAATCCAAAACATATCTTATGTTAAAGGATTAAAGTTCAATCTTATAAGCACAAGCCAGCTTTGTGATAATGGATATAGTGTGACATTCTCCAAAGACATCTGCTTGATCAAAGATGTCAAAAACAACAAAATTGTGCTCTCTGGGAGAAGAAAGAAGGACATGTACATTGTTGACTGGAGCTCAGCCAAGGAAGGAATCTGCTTAGTAACAAAGGCAGACTCAAGTATAAGTTGGGAATGGCACAACAAATTAAGTCATCTCAACTTCAAAACCATCAACAAACTGTCCAGAAAAGGCTTGGTAAAAGGACTTCCAGAAATCAACTTCAAAAAGGATCACCTATGTGATGCATGTCAAAAAGGGAAGCAAACAAAGATATCATTCAGATCCAAAGAAGTTGAGTCATCTACTAGACCATTAAACCTACTGCACCTTGACTTGTTTGGACCAGTCGATCCAACAAGCCTAAGTGGCAAAAGGTACACTCTAGTGGTTGTAGATGACTATTCAAGGTTTACATGGACCTTATTTTTAAAGAAGAAAAATGAAACTGAGAAAAAGCTTCCTGAACTGATGAAACTCATTCAGAATGAGAGGAGCATCTCAATCCAGAAGATCAGATCTGATAGAGGTACCGAATTTCTAAATGCAATAGTGATTCAGTACTGTGAAGAAAGTGGAATACATCATCAAACTTCAGCAGCAAGAACACCCCAACAGAATGGTGTTGCTGAAAGAAGAAACAGGACTCTCAAAGAAGCTGGAAGGACCATAATTGAAGCAGCAGGCTAGCCCAAAAGATTTTGGGCAGAGGCAATCAACACAGCTTGCTATACCCAAAATAGAAGTCTTATCCACAAGACTTACAAGAAGACTCCTTATGAGCTATGGAATGGAAGAAAGCCAAATATCAGCTATTTTCATGTGTTTGGATGTAAATGTTACATTCTAAACAATGGAAAAGACCATCTCAAGCCATTTGATGCTAAGTCAGATGAAGGAATCTTCCTGGGCTATTCATCTACAAGCAAAGCATTCAGAATACTCAACAAGAGAACTCTGGTGGTAGAAGAATCAATTCATGTGGTCTTTAAAGACCACAAAACAAGAAAAGATGAGTCTTCAGAAGAAAAGAATGGTAAGGCTCCAAGCTGCCTTCCCAGCAAAGAAAAACAAAAAGAAAGAAGCTCTCCTGAGCCAGCTGATGACTCAAATGGCAGACCACTGCCAGCAGTTGACTCAAACAGCAGACCCCTGCCAGCAGATGACTCAAACTATAAACCACTGCAGACTGTTGGAATCAATTCAACAGGATCATGTACCAGATTTGAAACTTCTAATCCCTCAACTCTACAAGAGGAAAGTGATGAAGAAGAGGAAGAAAAGCAGCAGACTCAAATTAATAAAACTTCTGACATTAGATGGTTGAATCAACATCCTACTCACCAGATTATTGGAAACATCCATGAAGGAGTGCGTACCAGATCATCAGTCCAAAAAGATGCCATGTTCTCATGCTTCATTTCACAAACTGAACCAAAGAAAGTTGAGGAAGCCCTCTCAGACTCTGATTGGATACAGGCCATGCAAGATGAACTTAATCAGTTTGAAAGAAATGATGTATGGGAGTGGGGAGCTCGGGGAGGTAGTCGATGAAGAATACTGTTCACGCTGAAGGTCAACGCACATATATCTGGTTTCTCTCGATCAATTTCTGCTTGGGAGGTGTTGTTAGCTTCCCCTTGGTGTGAGGAGTAAGCATATATACTTTATTCAAGCATCAAGGAGGTTGAATGGGAATTTGATGCGAGATGGCGAAACCTACATCTACGACGGCTCAGCCGTCTTCAGCTCAGCCTCCGCCTCTGGGGAATGCTTGGGCCGGTAAGAAGTCCTTCGTTTCTGTTCTATTGGACAAAGCAGATGCTACGCTATCAGCTACTACTGGTGCTCGCTATAAGGGGTTGCCAGCAGCAAACTTCTCAGAGGATGACATTCAGATTCTGGCAGACAAGCATAAACGAGCTTTGGTTGGTTACTTTTACAAGAGTCGGCCTCCAATGACTACTCTTCGAAAATCCTTTGAAATTATAGGGTTTAAGGGAGGTTTTCATTTGGGTTTGCTGGAGAAGAAGCATGTGCTAATCAGATTTGATCTCGAAGAAGACTATATCCGATGCTGGAATCGTCAGAAATGGGATATATACGGTAACGTTATGAAGGTCACCAAATGGTCCCCCGACTTTCAACCTAATGTGGAATCCCCGATTGTTCCGGTGTGGTTAACGTTTGAGGGATTACCAATCCATTTGCATGACAAAAGAGCGATGTTTGTTATTGCTAGCTTAATTGGAACCCCTCTAAAGCTTGATATTGCTACTACAACATTGGCCAGACCATCTCTTGCAAGAGTGTGCGTAGAGCTTGATCTAACCAAAGAGATGCCGTCTAAAGTATGGATCCAAACTGGCAAAACAGGGTTTACCCAATCTGTCATTTATGAAAATAAGCCCCAATATTGTCTTTCTTGTCTACACTTGGGGCATGTTGCTCACAGTTGTCCTATGAAACTACTGGAGGGGAAGTCTGAAGAGCCTGAGAAGCTAGTGGAGGGGAAAAAAACTATCAATGCGGGTTCCAAGTGGGTGGCAAAACTCAATACTCAACATACTTCAACGGGGAAAGAAGGGAAGGGGAATGATCAACACAGAATTACAGCGCCAGAAACTTCAGCAAAAGAGAAGGGGAAAGCGATTGTAGTGTATGCGCCTGCAAACAAGCAAGTAACTCCTCAGCCTGGCCCTTCCTCCATGCCTCAAGCTGGTCCTTCCTTCAAGCTGCTGGATGAGCAGACTATTATACAAGATAATGCTGAGTCAGACACTGAAGAAATCTTCCATGAGGAGCCACCTGCACAGAACAAAGAGGTAGAATGTCACAATGAAAAATGCAGCATTCAACATATGATACAAGGGGAAATTCTGGGGTTGTCACTTTCAGCAGGATGTGAGAAAATTAGAGACGATTTCTTCTTACAATTTATGGCAAAATCTGCAGATTTTGATCAAGAACTTGCTGCTAAAGAATATGGTTCTGACTCAGAGCTTCCCAATAAAAAAGAAAATGTGCAAGAGTGGTTAGTAGCCCTTCCAAGCCTGACTAATAAAGTGCATACTCTAATATCTTCCAGAAGGGTTAGGGAAGATTCTGAGCTACTTTCTGCAATGGGTCAGAACTGCAATGACAACCAAGCACAAAGTGAGGTTGAGGAACCTTTTATAACAGTTGGAAGAAGAAGAAGGAAGCAAAAGCCCATGATACAACAAACCCCAGGAATGATTACTAGAAATGCTGCCATGAAGCATACTCAAACTATTCCTCAACCTTTATCATGAATGGTTTAATATGGAATGTGAGAGGTCTGGCTGCCTCCGGGCCAAGGCTCTCCCATTTGATTAATAAATGGAGGATCCATTTTTTTGTAGCTATCGAACCATTGGTTGATATTGATAAAGCTGATCATTATAAAATGGAGTTTGGTTTTTCTAATGTTGTTGCTAATAATAGAACTAAGGTTTGGATTTTTTGGGATTCAAGTAGCATCACCATTTCTGATGTTAATTGGAACTCTCAGTTTGTTCATTTCAAATATTCTTGGTGCTCAAGTACTGGCTGGATTACAGCAATCTATGCTAAGCACACACATGCGGAGAGGAGGGAATTATGGGCTCACCTTACTCAGTTTGCAAGTACTATCCAAACCCCTTGGTTGGTTGGTGGTGATTTCAACACTATTATGTACAATGCTGAGCACAAAGGAGATTCAATCCCAAATCTGACTAGTATGCTTGAATTCAAAGAATGTGTTTCCCAATGCAATCTTATTGACATTCCTTACTCAGGTTGTCAATACACATGGACTGGTGTGCGGTCTAGGGGCAGGTTATGGAGGAGGCTGGATAGATGCCTATTTAATGAGTCATTTCTTGACTCATTTGATCAAATTTCTGTTACTAATCTGAATCAGGCCCCTTCAGATCATTCCCCTATGCTTATTCAGTGTTTAAATAATTATCATTCAGGGCCCAAACCATTCAGATTCCTTAACATGTGGCTCACTCACAACACCTTCTTAAATACAGTTTCTCAAAGCTGGAATGATGGCTTTACAAGAGGGGGCATGCAGGGATTGGTTATCAAATTGCAGAAACTCAAAAAGGATCTAAAGAGATGGAACAAAGAAACATTTGGCAATATTTTTGATGATATCAAATTCTCTGAGCAGGAAGTCGAAAAGGCAGAAATGGATTATTTAAATTCTCCTTCTGAGGAGAATAGAGAGGTCTGGCAGCTCAAAAAAGCTCTTCTTTTGAGAAAGTATAAAATTGAGAGGAAATATTGGAAGCAAAAAGCCAACGTCAGATGGCTCAAGGAAGGAGACAGTAATACCCAATATTTTCACTCTTATGTGAAAGTAAGAAGAAGGAAACAAATGATTTCTATCATTAAAGATTCATAAGGGAGGGAATTATCAACCTTACCTGATATAGGTGCCGCGGCTGTTGATTTTTACTCCAATTTGTATGCAGTAGACCCTCTCAACACAAATAATGAGATTTTAGGGAATATCCCTAAAATTAAGGACATTGATTGAACGGATTAAATTAATTTGGAGTGAATTGTTAGACTAAGGGCTTATATGTAATCTTGAAATGCATGTGTTGCTGTTACGATGAGGAAATATTAATCACTATTGCGTAAGTTTCCATTTTAAGATTCACCAAAATTATTTTACCCATTTTAATAAAAAAGTTGTCATCTTACTCACGTAAGTTTTTTTAACCTTTCAATAAATGATGCACTCTTAATATAATGGCATGCATGCATCAAAACATTAATAAATGTGCAATTCATGTAGCTAACGGTGCTAGTGCACATTTTCCATCAAATAACTTTTTCCTAATATATTCAAAATAATAACTTTAGTCTCTAACAAACATGATAATATAATACACAATCTTAAATTTTGACTAGATTCCCACACTTTATCCATGTAGTTGTGCACATAGATATAAATATACAAGAATATAAACCATCAATTACCACATGCATTTTAAATATATAAAGAGTACGTACAAAAGTGCACAAGTATATATATACTTCCTAAAGCTTAAATTTAGCACTCTTTTATAAAATGATATGCACTTTTATAATGTGCATTTTAAATTGTATAAAGGTGCATTATTATATCACACATTCTAAAAGTTTACAGACACTTTTTACAAAATGAAATGAATTTTTCTTCTAATAACATCATTGTTGTTTCAACAAAAAGTATATAAAATAAAAACGAATGGAAAATCCATGAAAAAAATACAACAAATGCATCAAAAGTTTGCATGAATGTAAAAAATAATATATCACAAGTGCACCATTCTTCATATGTAAAAAATGCACCATTAGACCTTTAAAAATGCACTTTTGTAAGTATACATTAGTCATATGTCAAAAGTGCACTTCCGTATTATATGTTAAAAATGCACAATGACAATTTAAAAATGGACACATTAAAAAATGAATTAATATTATACGTAAAAACAATATATCGATCAAGTGTATAATTAGAATTTTAAAATTGTATAAATTGTTTTAATAGAAAAATCGAAATAAAAATATACTGCTATCATAGTACTAAAACGAATTTAGATGATGAAGAATCAAAAGTGACTAAGAAAAAAATAAAGACCAACGGTAAAACAAAATTTTAATAAAGTTAATAAAGCCATCTAACATAACATATTCAAAAGTGTAATCAATGCTCAAATAAATAACCTCTCCTAAAATAGTCAGCATCCGAAATGGAAGGCATAGTGGAATCTCAATTTTACCCAATCAAGATTAACGTGGCATTCAAAAAACTCATAATAATCTAATGGCTAACATCTATTCTTATTTCTCTTCTAAGATTATTTTCTCACTTGAACCTAAATATATATATATATATATATATATATATATATATATATATATATATATATATATAGAATAAAGATCAAATGAGAACATTGCTTAACGTGAGAACGTGAGAACGTGAGAACACCACATTTACCCCAACGTGTTGCACAATGAAGCTTACATATTGCACTTTAACACATTTTAACAATATTTACCAAAATGCCACCGTGTTTATTTAATATAGGCTTAATTCGACCAATTTGAAAATGTGCAACATAATAGCTCCAATGTGCAACCCATTGATTTAAAAGTGATTGTTCTCACGTTCTCACGTTAAGCAGCGTTCTCACTGGAACTGCACCCTATATATATATATATATATGAGCATACGGTATCCGTGCTTCTTTTGAGGGTTTAAAGTCATATTTTGATTTCCGCTTGGGAAAAAAACTGTATAGGCGTCTTTGGCATTTAGGTTTTTTTTGAAAACAAATAACTTAATCATTAATAACGTCGAGAACCGGGTACAAACTCGCCATATTAAAGGTTACACTAGGGTGAGACTTAGAGCTGGAAACACGCTTATTAGCGGCCCATCTCGCTAACCCCGCAATGTGGTAGACTTAGGCACATCAATGCTGTTTCTGCTACTAGAAAGGGAATGAAAAAACAAAGCATAGTTCGAAACTGATGAAAAGACAGAAAAATAACATAAGCCAGTTTGACCAGCCACTGGCAAGGGAGTAGCGGTTTGACCAGCTTCCGCTAAAGGAACAACCATCAACCTCATATTGGTATAAATGATGCTGTATTTGTGCTTATTGGTAGAATGGACGAGTGGGATATACAATTGGTGTGTCAGCCACCAAATTCCTCTGATCTAAATATCTTATATTTGGGTTTGCTTAGGGCAGCGCAAACAATTCGACATAAAAAATGTCCAAAGACAGTTCAATAGTTGGTTACGACAGTTAAAGAAGCATATGCAGAATTCGGACCGCGTAAAGTAAATCACAATGAGTTCAATTACAAACTGTAATGATAGAGATTTTGAAATGAAACAGAGGCAACACCTACAAAAGCCCTCACATAGGAAAAGCAAGTTTGAAAAAAAGGGACTTCTACAATGTAATCTAGAAGTTGATGATGACTTGATTCCAAAAACCGTTGCTTATTTAAATCATGCTATGAAGGATGACAATCAGTCAATGATTGGTAACCAGGTATGGAAGTTGCAATTTCCCAACCTAGCTATGTGTACTATTTTATAATGCATTGCAAGGTTATTTAACTGATGTAGTGAATGAGCTACACAATTTTGACTTTTGGCCATTTCAGTTAATGTACAATGCATTGTAAACTTTTGAGTTTTTTTTTTCAAATTAGATAATGAAATGCATATGTTTATTCCTCATGTGGCTTCCTTCTTGAAAGGCACGATCTACTAACAGAGATAACAATGATTTCTCAAAACTGCATCTTATCATAGAAATCAAATAAGCTGCACTCAAATGATCGACACAATGCCAGATCACAACCATGTGTTATCACAGCGACACAAACACAATCTCAAATCACAAACACGTGCCCTCACTGACATACAAACACAATCTCAAATAACAAACACGTGTCATCACTGACATGCTCATACAATCTCATATCACAAATATGTGTCATCACAGACATGCTCACACAATCCTAGATCACATGCACAAATGTGTCACCAAATACATGCTCACACAATCTTAGGTCACAAATATGTGTCATCACATATATGCTCATAAAATCTCATATCACAACATGCGTCATCACAACCATACCAAAAAATCTCATATCACAAGCATGTGTCCTCATTAATATACAAACACAATATCAAATAACAAACATGTGTCATCACAAACATGCTCACACAATCTCAGATCACAAATATATGTCATCACAGACATGCTCACACAATCTCAGACCACAAACACGTGTCATCATAAATATGCTCATAAAATCCCAGATCACAACATGTGCCATCACGGCATGCTTGCACAATCTCAGATCACAACAATATGAATTATCACAGAAATGCTAGCACAATTTCATATAACAGAGATACGATTTATCATAGAGATTACTGATTTATAGCAACAAAGTCAACATAAAAATCACAAAGCAGTGTCGGAAACCATAAAATTCACAGGGATTACTAATTTACCATAACAATATCAGAGTTATTTCATCACAGGAAATCAGAAACACGCTATACCACACAATTTTAATGCAAAACAGAGAATAGATGACTTATCAGACACTTCATGTTCATTATCGCACGGCTTGAAGTTCACAGGCACTTTGGAATGGACGATCCGCCACAACCAAACTTGCCATGTCTTGAAGCACGACAGGATATGCCCTAACCTCGACATCTACCTTTGCTGGCGTATCACGCAGATCCAAGTAAGGGTAAGTAATCAATTGTCTCAGAGGGGACTTCCATCTGAATTACGATGATAGTTCGTGACAAGAGAGAGAATAAGGAGATTAATGGAAGAAGGTAATGAGAAGATGTCGATGGTGAGGAAGGCGAAACGTAAAGCTAATGAATGAGGTTAATGGATGGAGAATTAAATGGTTAGCAGTAGAAGGGTTTAATTATGGTAGTGGGTGGAGAATTAAATGAGTTTAGATTAAACGAGAATAAACGATGGTAAAATAAGTGAGGGTATGACAATATTTGTATAGAAAACAATTACTAAAAATAGGAGGGACATGTAATAAAAAATAAAAAATAGCTCAAAATAAAATACGAGACAATTATCAAAGAGCAGATGGGGTATTTAAAAATCAGCCCTAATATAAAATACAACCCCGAGGTTGGGCTGTCCGGACGAAACCCTAATGTTTCAACCTAGAGCAGATCAGCTTGGAGTGCTTCTGGACTGGGCTGAGCTATACCTTCTGGGCTTCACGACCTGGTCAGTGACATGCTGATGCGGAGGAAAATGGACCTCAACTGGACTGGGTTCCTGGAGCGTTTACTGTGGGACTTTGGTGATGGATTTTTAGACGCAGAGTTGTTTTCCGCTGCAGATTTTAGTGATGGGATAAGTGGCCTGGATTTTTTTACTTGTTATGCGATTAGGGGAAAGGGCCTTCACTGGCTCGCTAGCCTAATTTGCTGGGGTGTTTGGACGGCCTACTAGGGATGTTTCCTTTTGAACTCAAATTTTTTGGTCAGGTCTGGTAATGTCTAGTCTTTGTGTATTTTATCAAAAGAAACATCCCAACTCTCCTAACTATTCTGGGATTTGACACTGCTGGGCAGTTACTGGGCTGCTAGAGCAGAGTTCACTTGGAGGATGGGGCTTCACTGTTTCAGATTCCTTGAGCTTTGTGGACGGCATAAAACTTATTTAATGTTTTTTGATACGTGTCGGAGCTTGTCCCATGCCGTTTTGGACTTTCACCTAAAAAATTCTCTCCCCACTCGCCTCCCACGAGAGAATGAGAGGGATTTGAATGGTTAAACACTATTTAATTAGTATAGTTAGTTTTTTAGTTTTGATACATTGTACTATGTTATTTTTGGATGTGATTAATAAATGTATATTTCATACAAAAAATGACTAGAATATAAATGCCGTTTTTCAAGAGTTTTGTAGTTGCCTTTCAAAAAAAGGAGAACTATCAAATAAGCTCTCGAACTTACATAAAAAGTGCAAATCACCCCTTATATAGGAGACTCTGTCCGGCCGTCGATATTTGGGGCGGTTCCCGGTGGAATTTTTTGATAATTTTTTTTGAGCATCTTATTCATTAAGTCTAGTTATCCATACTAAGTTTCAGCTAAAAATTCAATCGGGAAGGAAGCCAAATGAATTTGTGAAGATAACTGCGCAGTTAAACAACACAATATATTTCAGGTTATCATTTGACTGCCTTCCGGGTTGAATTTTTAGTTGAAATTTGGTATGTGTAAACTAGACTTAATTAATGAATAAGATGCTCAAAAAAATTCATAAAAAAATTCTACCAGAAATCACTCCAAATGACGACGGCCGGACAGAACATCTTATATAAGGGATGAGTTGCACTTTTTATGTAAGTTCGAGGGTCTATTTGGTAATTCTCTAAAAAAAAGTTTTGTGTGTGTTAAATTACCTAAACGACCCCTGGGTAAACAAGAATCACAAGGCGTAACCTACTCGGAAGGGTTTTTCTCTCTCCTCGCCGACTTATTATCAGTACATAATCTTGAACCTCCAGCCCCCGCTTCCATTCTTCTTCCTCGTTCCTCTTTCCAGCAGAGGGGGGAAATACAATCATTTTCCCTATCTCTCTCTAAAAAAATCCCATCTTTTCTTGACCTGGTATATATACATACCGGATCTGTATCTCAATAACCCGGTCAGGTTTGGATTCTAGTTTCTCTTCTTCCAACAGCAGAGTATTGAGTTATGCAGCCTGATCAAGTGGGAATAAGCTTGAGACCTGGTGGTGGAAACCGAGGTAGACTTTTCGGCCCTCGCTTTGATTCCTCCTTGCTGTCAACCAATTCTGATCTCCCTCTGCTTCGCCCCCATGGCGGCTCATCTGCCTTCTCTTCATTCAAGGTCGATTCTTTTATCTGTTTCGCGGATCTGCGGCCTAGTTTCGAGCTGTAATCTCTGCTTTCTTTTACATATTTTCGTATCTGGTTTGATTATGTTCTGATTTAGTTTTCTTGATTAAATAAGTGCTCCTCTTTGAGCGGTTTTCATTTCTTATAGCTTATGTATGTAGCCCTATATATGTCTATGCCATTTAGGTCATAGCTGAAATACAATGATGTCTTTTCATTTATTCACGTTAACTCCAATCTTTATTTTGACATCTTCACACTGTGTAAATGTACATGTAGCTCTGTTTTCTGTAATTGATATCAAGTCCTGTGTTAATTGAGATGCAGCTTTAATATGTTTATGCAGTGCGAAGTATTTTCCCTGAAGTTCCAAATCCAAATGCACTGTGTTTAGAATCACACATTATTTTGCCTTCATGTCAGTAAAGCGCATATCATAAGGTTGATTGTGTTCTGAGTTTCCTGATTATAGATGACTAGTAGTAGATTCACTACCCAAGTGACAAGATTGTAGTGGCTGTAGGTGTGTCACTTTGTAGAACTGTGTATGAGTGATCACTTTTGTTCGTGTTTTCCTATCCATATGTTTTATGATCATTATTTTGAAAAATACCCAATAATTTAAGTTCTCTGCACCTTTCTTGTACTAAATTCATGTATTCATGCATAAATCCATATTCATGGTTGACAGAAGTGCGTTTATGGTGTCGTCCTAATTCTTGGCAGCACACTTAAGCGATGTGTATCTGCTGTAAATATGAACGTAAAGCAGATAGTAGGCTTTAGGAGGACATGCATAAATTAATTGTTTCCCTTTAAGACTCCTACATATATTGAGGTTTATGGCTGACAGAAATGTGTTTATGGTGTCGTCCTAATTCTTGGCAGCACACTTAAGAGATGTGTATCTGCTGTAAACATGGACGTATAGCAGATAGTAGGCTTTAGGAGGGCACATATAGAGTATTTGTTTCCCTTAAAGACTCCTACAGACATTGAGTTTTATGTAAAAACTGCATCATTAATGATGTTTTTGTAACATCATTGGCTGAAATGCATTTATGTTGTTGTCCTGATTCTTGGCAGCACACTTGAGATGTGATTCTGCTGTAAATATGGACGCAAAGAAAATAGTAGGCTTTAGGAGGGCTTGTAAGGAGCATTATTGCCCTTAAAGATCCCTACAGACATTTTTTTTTTGTAAAGTTACCTTTCGTCCCCAACATACTTCTAATTGCCTAATGCATAATTAGTTAACTAACCATGGCAGCTTTCTCAAGAATGTTGCTAAAAATGCTTGAATTTACGATGCAGACGCAGTTGATATTTCTGATTGAGATTTTGTCTATTTATTAGTTCTTCCATGTTTGTTTTGGACAGATTTACAGTTGATCTTGCTGAAAATGTAGTTCAATTAGTTCCTGTACATAGTTGTCATGGCACATGGCGACATCCATGACGATGGCGCAAATATGGTGTCACCACATAACAAAAATACCTAAATATGAATTATAGAATCTATAATTCCATCACCCAACCACCTAAACATGATAAAAAACTTGAATACCAACATTTCTAACTAAAACATGTGAAGTTAAAATAGTTTATAGTAGTTCCAAAAAAGCATAATCTTCAAAAAAAAGTTTCGTGTCTTTCCAAATATGTTTGCTTTTTTGGTTTGATGATTATGCCATAATCATCATCAATTATCACACTCATCTTCATTTTGGTCTGAATCTGATGTTGTGAAGGAGGAATGTCTTATTTGATATGAAATTATCAAGTTCAAAGAAGCTCCCGTCTTTGGAAATAAATGGATGCCAGTATACCATTTTGGTTTTAATAAATTGATGCCACATTAAAAAATGTTGGAAAATGATAGTGTACAATATGTTTCAGACTTCCAATATCTTAAATCATTATATTTATACCTATTGTAAAGCTTGAGCTCTTCTACTGTTTCCTTGGTTCACATTAACACTTAGGGTTGCTTTAGATATGCGTTTCTTGTTTCTTTATTTACTGTTGATTAGGGTTTTTGTTAATATAATCGGCTAACAATCTAACATATTAATTTCTTATTAGGGTTTTATTAATATAAAACTGGTTCAGATTATTTAAGTATTTATCAGGGCAAAAGCCCCAAAATCACAAAGTAAACTGGTTCAGATTTGTTTAATATTATGGCACAATTGCCATGGCAATGGCGCAAATATGGCGCCTCCATGTGTATGGTCGTTGCCATTAGGACTTTTTGTAGTGATAGAGGGGTTTCTTGCCATATGGCGCATGTAGCATGCGCTGTTCCTTGCCATCGACAACTACGTTCCTGTATTGATATAGTTTCAGAAAGTTTTATTGATGTCTTTCTTTTCAATCATTATTATAGGCTGGCGAATCCCGTTTTGAAGGCCAGGAACGCATTCGATATACTCGGGAAGAGCTCTTTAAAGTGAAGGACGAAGTATGAAGCATATATATTATATATATATATATATTGTTTAAATTGGATATGAATGGAATATTATCCTAGGTTATCTTATTATCCACGCAATACCTAGAGATTTATGAGCCCCTTATTTGGTGGTGATTTTAACTCTTTACCAGATAGTTGGCATACCAGAAGGTATTGTGAAAGCCAGACAAGATGTTGAAGCTGAATTATATGGTGAAGATGCCAATATTGTTCGTGGAGATAATAATGTGAGTCTCAACCACACTTTTTTGGTGAATTGTTATATCTCCCTCTGCAACTACCTTAAGCTACTTTAATTCTTCTACAGTTGCAATCTCAACCTCAGAGTCGTTACGCTGAGCCTGATGATCGTGACTGGCGAAACAGGTCTGCTCAGCTCTCTGCCCCCCAAGATGAGAGGTCATGGGAGTCCATCAAAGAGAACAAAGAAATTGCTAGTAGGTTGGGAGAACTCAACTCACAGTTTGGGAGAGCTCATATCTCTTCCAACCAGGCGGTAACTCTTTTTTGTGCTCTATAATTATTTGATGCTCACGTAACCTATTCATTTCATTATGCTGTACTACCTCCGTCCCATTTTATGTGTCTCACTTGGACTTGGCACGATTATTAATAAAGTGGTTGAAAAAGTGAAATTTTTGGTTGAGGTTTGAGTATAATAAAGCGAAATGGTGCAGGCCACATATTTCTTTCCAAAAAAGGAAAGGAGACACTTATTTTGGGACAATCCAAAAAGGAAAGTAGGACAGGTAAAATGGAACGGAGGGAGTACTCAAGTACAGCTATTGCCTTTGAAAAACAATGATTTTATTAATACTCCCTGCGTCCATTATAACTGTACCACTATCCTTTTTAATCAATTAATATGTGGTTCCTATTATTTCTCTCTCCTCTACACAAATCTCAACCATACATTTTCTACTTTATTATTCCCCCGTCGCTTTCAAACTTGACAAAGTTTTAAGGGACGGCCGGACGGGGGAGTATAATCTTTTTAGTATGTGAGAAATTAAGCCTTGTTTGCTATAATATGTGCTGTGTAAACCCTTGTGTCATATGTAATTGGGTTGACTGATTAGACTGAGATACTTCTATTGTGTTTGAACCAGGGGGGCCCTTCTCCTGCCCTCGTCAAAGCTGAGGTGCCATGGTCAGCTAGAAGAGGCACTCTCTCCGACAAGGATCGAGTTTTGAAAACAGTGAAGGGGTAATTCAAGTACTGTTATCATCTTTCATTTGATAAATGCAATAGTGATTTTGTCAAATGCATCCATTTTTATTTAGTCTGACTGGGATTTCTAATAGTAACCTCTCATGTTATCAGAAGCATTAAAAACATATTTCTAAAAAAAGTTCTGGTAGCCTTCATCATGAATGCAATGTTTTAGAAAGAATTCATGGGCTCATAGCCAATGTTTCTGGTCCAACAAGCAGTAACTTTTTCTAAAAATAATCCAGAGAAAATCAATTCCTGTTTTGTATGTTTTTTTTGTACTAAGGTTTCTATTGATGCTGCAGTATACTTAACAAGTTGACTCCAGAAAAATTTGATCTCTTAAAAGGTCAACTCATAGATGCTGGCATAACCACTGCAGACATTTTAAAGGTTTTCTCAATTTTTATTTTCTATATGGTATGTGTTGCTCCGAGTAGAATTGCTGCTTCTTTTAAGTGATGCTTACTTGATCTTTTTGTACTTCAGGGAGTTATTGGATTAATATTTGACAAGGCAGTACTGGAGCCCACATTTTGCACCATGTATGCCCAATTGTGCTCTGATCTGAATGAGAAACTACCTCCATTTCCATCTGAAGAACCTGGTGGTAAAGATATAACATTTAGAAGAGTGCTACTGGATACTTGCCAGCTGGCCTTTGAAGGCTCTGACAAGTTGAGGGAAGAAGCCCGGCAAATGTCTGCTCCCGAGCAGGAATCAGAACGCAGAGATAAAGAAAAGTTGATTAAGCTGCGCACCCTTGGGAACATACGCCTCATTGGAGAGCTCTTGAAACAAAGAATGGTCCCAGAAAGGATTGTTCATCACATTGTTCGGGTTCGTTGTGCCCCCTTCTCAACCATCTACAACACTTCGTTTTTTTGGGTTAATTACATCACCTCCCTCTATGTTCCGTCAAATTACTAACCCTCATAATTTCTAAAAATTACAAGCCTATGGATTAGTCATGTTTTCTGCATTCAACCGTGTTCCCATTGAAAAATTATTATAGAACGAAATGTTACTAAGAAGAACAACATGGATTTTCATACTAAATTTTAATCCAAAAAGAATATCCAGGGAATTGTTTTTGGAGTATTGTAATTTGAAAGCTTCAGTTTTTACCAATTCTGTACATCCCATTATCTTTCATTGTTCATGAAAAATTAGACTGGTTGTAGTGTTTGTTTAAAAAATTTCAAAGTTAGTTTGCTAATTCAACTAAACCTTGAAGGGGTATAATTAACACTAACACTAACACATCTTTCATTGTGAAAGCGATTCTTCAAACATCTTACCTGTGTATTACTATAGGAACTGCTAGGTGCCGACCCGACAAGCATCCCTGAGGAGGAAAATGTTGAAGCAATCTGCCATTTCTTTAACACCATTGGAAAACAACTTGATGAGAACCGGAAGTCAAGATCGATCAATGATATGTACTTCAACCAACTGAAAGCACTATCCACTATCCCTCAACTTGCTCCACGCCTTAGGTTCATGATACGTGATGTTCTTGACATGCGTGCAAACAACTGGGTCCCACGACGTGAAGAGGTGATCAATCATTTACTCTCCAGTTTTAGCTCTCTTTGTCTTTGTTTGGGTAGAAGTAGGAAGGAGAAGTATGGGAAATAAGAAATGGAGAGTTCTCTGGTTTGGATAGGAGAAAAATGAAAAGAAGTTGAAATATGAATTGTAATACTATTACATTTTATTTGATTTCTCTTCATGGAGCTACCAACTCGACAAAATGTCTCCTATTTTTCTCCATCTCTTTCTCACCCATTTCTCTCTTCTATTTCTTCCATTAACCTTAAAGGCATCATATTATTTAGTGATTTACTTGAGATACTCATTGAAAATGTTCTGTCCACACAGGTTAAAGCCAAAACGATTACTGAAATTCACACGGAAGCAGAGAAAAATCTGGGGTTACGTCCCGGTGCTATGGCAAGTATTAGGAATTCACGTGGCATTGCTCCCTCCGGTCCTCAAAGCCCGGTCAGTTTCCCTCCTAGCCGTATGCCCGGAGCGCCTGGGGCAAGGAAGATCTCCGTGATTCCTGGATATGACGATGACAACTGGGAGATCCCAAAATCCCGGATGCCTAGAGGTATGCCATCTCTTGCCACCAAGTCACCTGGTTCAAACCAAACGCTTCTTCCCCAAGGCGGCAGTATTGGTGACCTGGTTAGTGGCAGAACCAGTGCTCTTTTACAAGGTAGTAGTGGGGGCCCGTCTCCTATCCGCCCCCAGATTCAGGAGGATCCCACTAAACAGTCTCCAGTGACCGAAAAGCTACATGCTCCAGCTGCCATATTTACTCCTGAGCAACTCAAGAGGAAAACAGTTTCACTTTTGGATGAATATTTTAGTGTCCGGATTTTGGATGAAGCTGCACAGTGTATCGATGAGCTGAAATCACCGGCTTACCATCCCGAGTTTGTAAAGCAAGCCGTCTCCCTCGGATTGGACAAAAGTCCACCATGCGTTGAGCCAGTTGCAAAGCTTCTCGAGTACATGTTTGAGAAGAAAATCTTTGATTCCACTGTTTTAGGGACTGGTTTAATGGGTTTTGCATCTATGTTGGATGATCTGGCAGTGGATTTACCAAAAGCTCCTACCAACTTTGGTGACATCATCGGAAGACTTGTTCTGGCTGGAGGTATCAACTTTGGGGTCGTCAATGAGATTTTGAAGAAAATTGGGGATGACTTTTATCAAAAGGAGGTGTTTTCTGCTGTGGTGAAGGTTTTGGATTCAAGTTCATCAGGGAAGGCAGTTTTGGACTCTCAGGCAACACATGTTGAGGAATGCCGCAGCTTGCTCCAGTAAGCCTCTCTATATTATTGAAGGACAGAATGGCCCCTGCTGTCTCGGATAGCCTTAAGGTTCCTCATCAAAGCTCACTTATCTAGAAGGGGGAGCTGCAAACATGTGGGTGAGTTTTGTATATTTCTAGAGGCCGCAGTAGTTATTGTCTGATAAAAAGGGGAGGTAAGGTAAGGACATTGAAAAAGATTTTGGTGTCTCAACCGTGGTTAAGTTCATATAATGTTCCAGGTCTAAGGTCGTCATCAGGATCATGCTGTTTTTTAATATTTCATTAGTTTTAAAATTTTAACTTTTAAATATCTTTTCCATTAGTTAAATTGAAATTTTGCTGAACTTGTGAGTCCAATGTGACTGCTCCCTCCGTTATAGCATTTTTGGGTTGAGATTATTGTACTTGTTGTGGCCTGTGGGATTCAGCATTAATGTGTGGGTTGTTATACGGTACTTTTATATATATGACGGGAATAAGCTTCTTATTTGTGGTTTATATCTGTTTCCTGGTTTTCTTAAGAACGTGATATTTGTCATTTCCATAAATTGTGGTGGTATGTTTATTTCATCACTTGTCTTGAATAGTCATGGTCCTCATGGACCCGGGCTGGACCGGGCCGGGCTTTTTTGGGAAAGAAGAACTGGAACCGGCCCGGGTAGGCAGCGGTCCCGGGTCGGGCCGGTTCATGTTATTATTTTTTAATTTTCTTTTGCTTTTCTAATTAACCCCTGACCCCCCTTCACCCCCCCAATTCCCCAAAACACCCAGACCAACCCGGGAGAAACCAAAAAAATTGAAAAAAATAGGAGGCCCGAGCCTGCCCCGTTTAACTCCCGGTTCGGGTGGCCCGGACTGGTCCTATACTCCTATGACCAACGGATCCAGAATTTCGAATCAAGGGAGGCAAATTTTTTTCGTTTGTGAAGGGGTGAAAATTTTCCGCTAGTATAGCGGGGCGATTTTTTTTTGCTAATATAGGGCTCTGAGTATTTTTTTTTATTCAAAAAAGTTCTTTTGATACACATACATAACAATAACTAAATCTATTACATTTTAAGTTAGATAATAAAAAAATAACTTTGATTTTATAATTGAAATGATTTAAAAAAAATAACTTTAATGTATTCTTACATTAAAGCGTAAGAAGTGGTAAATCAAAGGATAATGATTTGAAAATAAATAGGATATATAACATTTTAATTATCAAATTATTTGAAGAAAATTTTATAAGGTAAATATCTATTAACATATTTTAAATAACTTATGTCTTGTTTAAGCACATGAATATTTACGCAATAAAGATTTGATTTTGGAATTGCAATAGTATATGTATGAGATTACTATTTTTAGAATAGTATTATGATACTAATCCATATTTATGGTGCATATTAGATTTGTATTAATGCTAAAAAAAGATAAATTTATTATCTATACAATAAATTGTTTTTATGAAGTGTAAGAAATAAATGAATTGTGTAATTTAATGTCAACAAACATTTAAATTTTGGATTCACTTCACATGATTTAAAATTGTTTAACTACAGTACGTGTCTGATCTTTAATTTCATTTGATATTTTCCAAAACCGAGTACTAATTATCTAACAAAGATAATTAAACATTACAAAACTAGGATTTTTTATAATAAGTATCCTAAGTTTTAAATAATGAGTTGCTATTGTTTATTTGTTTGAGTTATGTAAATTATTTTAAATGTTTCTTCATTTAAATCTAAAATTAAGTATTACATTATGTAAGACTATATATTAATTCTAAAACAAAGAAGTTAAGGGGGGCGAACACATATACATCTAACTAAAGTATGAAAATTTTATGAAAATATTATATATAATAGAAAATTTTGAAAGTCCAAGGGAGGCGGTCGCCCCCTGCGTCCCCCTTAAATCCATCCCTACCTATGACCGGGTACCGGGCCGGGCCCAAACAGTACCGGTTCCGGGCTGGTCGACCCGACCCGAGTCCATGACCTGTCTTGAATGAGAGACTTTGAGAATTTCATAAGTTTTTTTTCTTCTCATAAAAAAAAACTTTGGTGGAAAAACGTTAGTGGTACTGGGTACGTAGATGAGTGCTTTCAAGATCCACTCAATGAAACAAGTGTATTATTTTCTTGTACAAAGAAACTAAACATCCATATGTTGTTAATCAACACTTTTTGTGCTTTAGGACTTGTTGCTTCAAAATATGCATTTAAACACATGTTGGGAGATTTCTGTTTGCTTTATGATATGTTTGTTTACTTTCTTTTTGAACACATGGTTAGACAGTGACAGTGGCGGAACCAGGTCGGGGATCTCGGAGGGGCACATAATGGGAAAGGGAAGGTCTGTGGCAACTCGACAACGGGGCCATCTGATGCAGCTAAAGAATTTTGGTCTTCGACAAAGCGGGCAGATGTCAAAAGAGGTTTCGAAGAGGTTGCGACGCTGGATATATATGTAGTATTATTTTTTAAATTAAAAAGTAAGGATCCATAAAACATATTTAATTTAATGATGTAGGATAAATATTAAAGTGAGGTGTGAATACTAAAATTACACATAAAATTATGGAGGGGATTGGAGAGGTGATATTATTTTAATTATCCTTCCATTTAAAATATTGGAAATCAGATGAGAAAAATAAAGAATGATCCATTATTAATTTGCCATAACAATTAAATTGGTTATGGAACACTTCACGCCATAGTTTGTCGGAGCTTAGGCCATGTTTAAGTAATGAATGTGGTCCGTTATTTAATCCATCTATTGTTTTATATAGTAAAACTCAGTTATAAATCGCTGATGTGTCTCTTTTCTATTGGTTAACAAAATTTAATTAAAACATTTATGTATTCAATTAGAAAACGCAGGAGAGAAAAACTAGGAGAGAAAAACTAGGAGAAAAAAACGAAAAGAACCGGAGAAAAAGCAAGAGACCAGTTCAATTATACGAAGGTAACGATACAAACGGTGACTCATTAATTGTATCATGTATACAGTATACTTGATCTGAGCCAAAAGACTGAGAGTCATTAATTACGTACATTTGATTTTGAATATTAATTTTGGTTATGTTTTAAGTGTATAATTAAAAGTTAAGCATATATATTTAACCAATCAGAAAAGGCCCCGATTCAAATGTACATAATTAATAATTAATTTATGTACATTGTTAATTTTAACACTTGACATTATGTAGACCTCATACATTAAAGCTTTTAAATAGTTAGTAACGAGATAGAATGCCTAATGAAAAAGTAGGAGAAAATAAGTAAAAGCATATCCTTAGAAGCTATTCTGTTACTCTTATTCCTATTGTTTACTCCGTATTACTTATTCTTATTTTATTTAGATTAGATAGACAAAAAGTCGAATCAATTCAAATTAGACCAAAACATTCAAACCATATCACATTACATCAGAAAAGTCTGGATTAGATCAGATCACAAATATTCATATTAGATCAGAAACATTCAAATCAGACCAGAAAGTCAGAAACAATTAGATCAAATAAAAAAGGTTTAGACATAATTTATAATTAGGATTACCATTATAATAAGCGTTATCAATAACATTATAATATGTAGTATTACTATTATAATTAAATTATAGATACCTACATCCTATATAGTTATAATAATAATCACTTACAAATACCGATAACAACAACAATACATTAATACATTAATAATAATTAATACATTAATAATAATATAGTTAAATAGTAACATTATCATTGATAATAACCATAGTGATAATATATGATGTTTTATGAATAACGCTAACATGCAAATAATGGTTATAATAACAGCATTCATAATTAATTTTAATAGAAGCAATCTACAATAATAGCGTCTGTACGAATGGTACGAATGGCCTGGTGAAGACGATGATGAGGATGATGATGATAAAAAAATCATAATGATGATCAAAATAATAATAATGATATTAATAATAATAGTAGTAGTAATAATAATAATAATAATAGAAATAATAGCAATAATAGTAATAGTAATAATAATAATATAAATAAATAATGATGATGATGATGATCATGATGATGATAACAATGACATAATGATTATTATAATGGTAATCATAGTTATAAAAAATAAGGATAATTATAAAGATAATATAATGATAGTTATGGTTATAATTGTGATGATAACTATCTGTATACTTATAGTTATAATGACAATGATAATGATAATTATAGTTATGATGATAATAATAACTTGATATAATACTAATAAACCCCAATCACATAAAAATATTTAGATCATATTAGAATGATTCAGATCATATCAAAATCAGAAAAACTCATCAGATCAGAAGGTTTATATGGGATCATACCAGATCAGACTAGATCGAAAAAAATTCAGATTAGATCAGACTAGATCTTAAAAACTTCAGATCATAAATATTCATATAAGTCGAATAGAATAATTTCTTAATATCAATCATATAGTAATGATATAGATTTGTCAGAATAAATATCAGTTCAGTTTGTAAAAAAATTAACAACATCAAATTCTTTAATTAATGAGACTCTAATACACATAAGAGAACTCTAATCATGCAAAATTAATCTTACATATTTGAGTAGGCTCTAATGCACGACCAAATTTTTAAATAATGGAACTTTAGTTCACGTGAACGGGACTCTAATGGTACAACACTAATAACACACATGACTATCAAAATAATGTAAACCCCACATACCCTCATTTCCAATCCAACACTTCTGATCTTCTTCTTATTCCTCATCATATAATCAGCCCTATAAATAATTAATAACTATTACAACAATTAACACAAACCACAATATAACCACAAATTCATACTCCAAAAGATGGTCCTCCCCCACCCGTCTTCCATGATGGTGGTTAGTTCATAAAAGAAATCAATTATAGCCAAACTTTTGATTATATCTTATGAATAGTTAACAATGTTTATTGATATTTGTCTCACAAAGCCATATCAAATTAACTCTACCGGGGCATGCCCCGGGTGTTACACTAGTTCTAATGTAAAAGTCCTTGGTCAAATTAAGTCGTCTCCTTCAATGACGGACTAACAAGAGCTTCATCAATAGCATCCTTTGGACGAAGCCAAAATTTTGTCAAATGTCAATATTTTTAGATTATGTTTATCCACATCAAATAATACACATTAAAAGAATTTAATAAAAGTTCTCACATGCACAATGTTTACATCTTCAATTATTTATCTATGTGTCAATTATTAATATAGGGAGTATTGAATCCAAAACAAAAGGCATCCATATTCTTCCAACCCATACCCCATATGATTTAAAGAAATTATCCTAAATAGGACTAAAACATAGTTAAAACTCCAAAGTGGGACTATAAGGTTATTATTTCCAAAATAGGACTCCCAATTACTTTTTTACCCTTCCTATTATTAAACCCAAAATCCAAGCAGCGGAGACCCCAGAGGGCCACACCCGTGAACAAGACACAGCCCATTCACAACCTAGTGGTATCCCGATCTTTCATCACCGCCGCCATAGCCGCCGCCGCTCGT